CGCCGCCCCGAGGGCTTCCGAACCGCGGCGCCCGCGGGCGGTGCCGCCGGCCCCGAGGGCGGCGCGAGACGCCCCGTCCGCGCCCCTGCTCACCTGCACGCAGAGCGCCAGTAGCAGCAGCAGCCGCCGGGGCAGGCGCCCCCGGCCCCGCGCCCGCATAGCCGCCGCGACCCCGCCCGCCGGCCCGCCGCTGCCGCCGCCCCTGCGCGCCGGGCCCCGGCCTCCCAGCGCCCGCGCGCCCGCCCGCCCTCCTAGCGCCGGCGGCAGCGGCAGCAGCAGAGGCGGCGGCGGCGGCGGCGGGCGGGGTCGAGGCGGCGCCGCGCGGGCGCGGGCGGCGGGCGCGCAGGGGCGGCGGCGCTCGGGCTCGCAGGCGGCGGCGCTCGGGCCCGATCCGGCTCCCTCCCGGCGGCGGCGGCGGCGGCGGCAGCGGCGCTCCGGGCCTCGGCTCTGCGCGCCCGCGCTGCGCTCGCCCGCAGCCGACAAGTTCGGGCCGAGACTGACAGCTCGCTCGCCCATTCGTCACCCGCGTACCTGCATATGCATGAGGGGGCGGGGCCGCTCCCCAGGGTGGGGCGGGGGGGGCCGGGGGCGCCCGGGATTTAAAGGCGGCGGAGGGCGCCTCCTGTCAGCGCCCTGGCCCGGCGCGCGCCTCGCTCGGCCGCCGGCTGCCGGGCGGCGGGGGCTCCGATAGCGCCTCGGTCGGAGCCAGGAGAGCGGGACCCGGGGCCGCAACGCGGCCGCACCTCGCCGGAGCCGCGCCGGGTCTCCGGAGCCAGGGGGTGGGGCGCCCCCTGAGGTCACCGCCGCGGTCCCCTCCCACCGGTGCGCCGCCGCCGCGCTCCTCGGGTCCCAGGGGAGAGGCTGCCTTCTGCACAAATCAGGGCTCTACCCTACTTGGGGCGGGCGCGGCCCTACTACGCGCCCCCGCCCCCGGGAACACCTCCCCCCGCCACTCCCGCCGTAGGGGGCGCTGCTCCCCTCGGACGCCCGCACCCCCGCCCCCACCGCCCCAGCCCCACTGCCCGCAGGTCGGAAGCCACGGAACTAACGGCCCATGTCCAGCTCTACTCTGGTGTCGGGGGTCGCCAGGCCGTACTTTCCAGCAACGTCCGGGATGGGGGTCATGGTTTGGGCGCAGATGAGGAGGGTGCAAATAAAGGACGGTGGTGCACGCCCCAAAGGACAAAGTGAGGGCCGTCCAGAGAGGCTGCGGCTGCTGTCCTGGTCTCCAGGCCCTCTTATCCCAGCCCTGTCATCGCCTTATTGCCCTCTGCTGGAGTAACCTCGCCTCACCTCCACGGAGTCATGCCAAGGCTCCGGGTCTCCAAACACCGCCTCCTCTCTGCCAAACAGGGTCCCTTCCAAGGCTGGAGATCGCCTTGGTCGTTAGGGATACCGCTTTGGTCCAAAGGGGTTTTCCCGCCCAACCCCGGGTAGCAGCTGGGCTTCCTTCCATCCCTGGCTCCTCCTGCAAATTTGCCTGCGGCCCTGGTTTCACTGCCCAGCCAGGGGGTCCAGCCCCCAGGAGCCTAAAGAGCTGGGCCTGACTGCTCCCTCCAAACACCTGAGCCCCGCTCTAGGCTGGGAGGGGGCAGGACACAAGCCAGGACCCGCCACGCACGGCGACCCCCACCAAATGAGGGGGTGTGAGCGCTGTTCACAGTCTTCCAGTTGCTTCCTGGGTAGCGGTTACCGCCTGTGGGGGCAGGGGGTTCACGGAGAGAGGCCCCCCACTCCGCTCTGGTCCAGGGGCAGGGATGAAGTCCTGCAGGCCCCAACAGGGACAAGCGGCCCCCTGTACCATTCCGGGGGCAGAGCTCCATCCTGGCCCTTGCCCGCTGCCTTACCACCCACTGCCCTCAAGCACTCACTCAAGCAAGGTGGACACAGCCCTGCCCGCCCACCCACCCATAAGTGGTTCCCAGTGGGGGTGATGGAGTGGGCAGAGAACTTAGTAACACGGAACAGCAAACTGTACTGAGTGAGACCCGTGGCGGTACCCTGCCCAGGAGGCCTGCTCAGACCCAGTGGGCAAGCCAGGGTCGGCCAGGCAAAGCCGCTGCAAACAGCACGTGCAAAGGCCCTGGGGCTGAGGAGGAGGACTCATGTCCCCGGCAGAGCAGGTGAGGGGTCTGGGGAGGCTGGAAGGGGTGGCGAGCGCTGGCTGTGCTGGGCTGGCCTGGCCAGCCTTCCTGCAAAGGCTGACGGGAAGTCACAGAAAGCAGCTGAGCTGGGTTGGGCTGCACATCTGTGACTTACATTGTCACAGAGATCCCTGGCTATAGGGGGGAAGGGCAGCACGGAGTGAGGTCAGACAGGGAGGCCAAATGCAAACGAGAGGAGCCGGAGGCCTGGCCGGGTCCTGGCCATGGAGGGGCCGAGCGGGCAATTCCGGCACGAGTGAGAGGTGGAATCCGGAGAACAGCACCCCCACCCCCCGCACTCTATGCCCCTCCCTTGTCCACCTCGAAGCTTCCTGCCGGTAGCCAGCTGCAGGAGAGGCAGACAGCCGGGATGTGCCACAGGGTGCCATGGCTGACCCTGGCAGCCAGGCTGTGGGTCCCAGGAGCTGCTGCTCTGGGCGGAGGCCTTGCCCTGCTCGAGGCTGTCTTTGCTCGAAGGCGAAGGTGGCAGTGAGGGATGCTCAGCCCACCTCCAGATTCCAGCTCAACCTGCTGGGGGAGGGGCCGCCCCGGGGCCGAGGGAGACCGCACCCATCTGGCCCCCTCTGCTTCCATCCAGGCCCTTTGGGAGCAAAGTGGGCTCCCTGCCTCCCTGCCCAGGGTGCCCCCTGCAGGCCACAGATGCCCCTCATGGTCCCCTTCCCCCCACCCCCTGCCTCCCAGGAGCCACAGCCTGGACATAATTGATCCAGGAGAGGTTGAAGGCAGGATGCTGGCTGCTTGAAGGAAGGAGCTGGGACTGGGGCTGTGGGGCAGGCGATCCTCCTACAGAGGTCCCCTCCTATGTGGGGGGAGCCAGAGGGCTGAGACCCAGAGACAGCCAGGCTCCTGCCTCTTCCAGGAAGACCCCAGCATAGTTTGGGGCTCCCTGGGTCACACTCCGCTCAGTGTCCCAGCCGTACCCGCCCCCTGCCCCAGGGGCCCTCCAGGCAGACCCTGGGGTGGGCGTCACTCTGCGCCAGACAAGGCACCCGAGGAGGGGGCACGGCTCGGCCGGTTGGGCTGCTCAGGACCAGCTGGGCACCGGCTGCTGGGCACCGGCTGCCGGGCATGTGGACAGAGCCGGTGCGGCTGAGTGAGGTACTTCCGCCTGTGTTTTGTGGTGCTAAATATAGCGGCCAGGGAGGGGAGTTTCCGGTTACAGCCCCCCCCCCCCACTGCCGGGAAATCGATGCCAGCTCCATTAGGCCCGGCGGTGCCTGCTGACCTGCCCCAACGGGCTGCCGAGCAGAGTGCGGGGCTGGACCGCACCCAAGACCAGGACCCTGTCCTGCCAGGCCAAAGCCTGCACACTCCCCAGGGCAGAGGGCCCCCAGCCCCACCGGGGCCCAGCAGAGGCCCCTCTGGCGTGCAGGCAGCGGAGCTCAGGAGGTGGGCAGTGGCGGCCGGAAGGTGCAGGCGGGGTGGGGCAGCCCCAGGGTGGGCAGAGCCCCTGCCTCAGACTCTCCAGATGTCCCGGCCCAGGGCCGCCCTCAGGGCCCCTCTGACAGGGCGGAGCCGGCGCTCGGGACCCCAGCACGGCACCACCCTGCCGGCCCCACACCCAGGCCCAAGCACCCCCCCCCCCACAGCATCCCACTGCTGGGCTGGGCTCCCGGAAGACCCCACCTGGGTCACAGCTGTCATTTGCATACAGGTGGTGCTACCTGCGTGGGCCTCCTGGTGCAGCCAGCCCAGGCCAGCCCCGAGGCCAGACTTGGGGGCCACGGGCTCTGAGCCACTGCTGGAACAGCTCAGCCACACACGACCCCCAGGCCAGCAGGAAGGAAAGTGCCCGCCGGCCCGGGGCAGAGGGCAGGGGCACCTCAGCCTGGGCAGCTGTCCCCTCCTGACAGCAGGGTCTCAGCAGAAGCCAGAGGCAGCGTGTCCTCGCTCAGCGTCCTCTCCCATTCCAGCCAGGGCCCAGGGCACAAAGGCCAACAGCAGAAGCTCCTGGTCGCCCGGGCCCCCAGTCCCGACCTGTCTGTCCAGCAGGATCTCCTGGACACTCTGCCCTCTGCAGAGTCAGTGGACCACAACCCAGACTGCCCCCGTCCTGTCCTAGGGCATCACCCTAGGGGCTGACCAGAGGATTTGGGGGCCTCTGGGAAAGGGCTAGGCCAGGCCACCACCCTCACAGAGGGGCAAGCCAGCCTTCCCTCCAAGAAACCTCCCCAGTCCTCATCCCCAACTGACGGCCCCGCAGCGCCCACAGACGCCCACGCCCACGATGACCCGCACCCTCCTCTCAGAGAGCTCCGGCGCACGCTGGAGGTCCTGCTGGGTGCCTGGTGGAGCAGACGTCCAGCCCTCCTGCGACCCCACATGCTCAAGGGCTTGCAGAGGGCAGCTCACGTCATCCCCGACCCCCCGGGTGGGGGTTTTGTGGGGCTTGCAGGCCAGTCTGCACACAGGTCAGCAGGTGAAGCGAGACTCATCACCAGTGTCCAGGGCCACAGGGCTACTGAGGGGGGCATCGGCCCAGCCCCGGGCAGGTAGGACCCAGGAGCAGGGAGCATGTGCCTCTGAGCCTGTCCATGCCCTCTCCTGCCGTGACTGGCTCAGCCACTGCCCCCAGGGATGGCCTGACCCGACACCATCTTCCTGCCTCCCCCCCGCCAGCCAGTGGTGCTGCCCAGGCCTGGCCTAGCCCTCTGCCAGCGGTCAGCTCCCAACAGCTCCCCAGCACAGCCTGCACCAGGTGCCTCTGCTCAGGGGAAGCTGAGGGGCTTTCACGGAGGCCTCGCCCTGCCCTGCCCCCAGCCCAGCCCGGTCACAGCTCAGAGTCGGCGGGCACAGGCGAGAGTGATGCCAGCCTTTATTGGGTCTGCGGGACTCTCACTGGGGACCCAGGCCAGGGGCCACGCAGCTGAAGAACCACGAGATACCAAAGATCACGCCGAGGGTCTTGGGAACATCCGGGTTGTCCGCAAAGGCCCGGGCGCCGTCCAGGGGCAGATGCACCACCTCGATGAGTTCTCCCTCCTCAGCCAGGCCCCCGCCCGGGCCTCCCCGTTGAGCATCCGTCACCTCCGCATAGAACATGGTCTGGCTGGAGCTGGTCAGTCCCACACCAGACCTGCAGGTCGAGACAGCATGTGCTGAGGGGTCCACACAGGCCCCACCGGCCACCCCTGGCCCTTCCACAGTCCTCTCCTCCACCCTTCCAGCCCCCTGGCAGGCAGGGTTCCAGGAGGTTCCAGGGCCCCCAGATCCCCACGCAGTATCCCCTCGAGTGTGGGGGAGACCTGGGAACATGCTGGATGTGACGAGGCTGTGACCAGGCTTGTGACTTGCAACTGGTTACATTAGGTCAGCTGATGAGGGATTCCGCAGATGTAATTAAGGGACCTAATGAGGGGGATTTATGTTCATCCAAAGGGGGATGATCCTGGGTGGGTGTGACCTAATCAAGAGAGTTTAAGAGATCAGTGACGGGAAAACTCAGGGAGACACTTGAAGACAAAGCAAGCTGCCTTGCTGATGCCGGAGGGCCACAGGCCAGGGTGTGGAGGGCCTCTAAGAAGCTGAGAGCCAGCCAGGAGACAGCCCACAGGCACGGCCACGAGGAGCTGCAAGAGGACGCAGAGCCCAGCTGACGCCTGGCCGCAGCTCGTCAAGCCCTCGAGTGGTGGGCCAGGTCCCCAGCAGCCACGCGGTGAGAACGTGGGCGGTTGACAGGTGGCCCCTGCTCTCCCGTGGGCCCTGCCACTCTGCCCAGGCTGGGCCAAGCCGGTCCTCGCCCCACCGGGAAGAGCCTGTCCATGCCCAGGGCTCCGGCCACGCAGCCTGCGTCTGTGAGCACTTGTAGGGTGGGGTACCCACTCCAGGCCGGGGCTCACAGCGCGGGTGGGAGGTGAGATCCCCAGGACCAGGGCTCATAGGCTGGGGGGGGGGGGGGCTCAAGGACTCCCCTTCCTTCCTGGATGGCGGCCAGGAGTGGGTTGCTGGCCCCAGGGAGGGGGATGGGCCAGGCAGAAGGCAGGGGCGCAGATTGGGCCAGCGGAGGTCAGCAGTGGGTAGCCATGGTGACTGCCGGCCTTGAGGACAAGGTGACGGACAGGCTGGCCTGGACTCCAGAGGGGAGGGCCCAGAACAGTGTACAGGGGAGAGGGGAGCCATGGGGTGTCTACGAAGTCCAGGGGATGAGGGGGACCTGGGTCCTGCTGAGGCTAGCTGAGGCCAGCCGAGGCCAGGGGGGTGGAAGAGCTCCCGGGACACTGGGGCAAGGGGCAGAGGGGCGTCTGACCCCTTCCCAGCTGTCCTACCCCCCGGTGGGGCCACGCCCAGACTGACCTCACCCAGCTGCTTCCTCCACCCTCCGGCCCCTTATCTCCCCCGGACCCTTCCTGAAGCCCATTTCCGCCGGCGGCCACAGCCTGGGCTTTGATGGAAGTCGCCGTCTGTGGGGTTTCCAGGCCCCATTTCCGCCGGTGTGTGAAGGAGACCGGCGCCAAGGAGAGTGTGCCCTGCCAGGCCGGCATGGCCTCCCCCTGCTCGCTCAATCACGCCCCTGGCCGCGAGACCTCAGGCAAGCGCAGGGCCACGTCACCTGGGACGGGCCGGGAAGCGGCCGGGGCCCCAGAAGGAAGCCATGGGCCTGGCCACGGAGCTGTGGGAGCTTAGCTCTGGCTCGTCCGGCTGCCGTCCAGCTCCCAGGGCTAGGAACTGCGCTGGTCTCCTCTCCCCCTCCTAAGCCCGCCTCCCCTTGTCCCTAAAATGCAGTCTGAGCTGACTGCCTGCTGTCCAGAACCCTCCGTGGCTCCCCAGTACCCTCCAGATCATGGCCCAGAGGCAGGGGATGCTCGTCCTCTCGACCTGAGCCTTTTCCACAAAGCACCTCTGCCAGGCCTCCACGCAGACTCACCCCTTCCGGGGACCCCACCCGCCCAGGGCACATCCACGTGCCTTCCTCCTGGCCTGCCCACTGCTTCAAGCCCTACCTGAAGTCAGGGCCCCTGGATTCTCTCAGCCCCTGGACCGCCAGCCCAAAGGCTCAGAGACCAGTGGCCACTGGCCAGGTACACGGAGGATGCCTACAGATAACTGAGGCGTCACACCAGGTGTCTGACCCTGGGGTGCAGAAACCCCACCTGGAGCATGGAGGTGCCAAGCCCTGCCCCATCTCCTTCCCAAGACTGAAGGCCGTGGACACCTGGCCGGGCCAGGATGTCGCTGAGGCAGCCCTGGGCTGGCCTGGGGGGCAGAGCTGAGGCCCCACCCCTCTGGAGCAGGCTGCTGGGGGTTGGGGCTCAGCTGGAGACCCTCCTTCTGCTGGGGACTTCACCAGGGCTGGGGACCCTTCGCCACACCCCTAGGGCAAGGGGTGGGCTTCACCCCACATCCCGTCCCGGAAGATGTCCCCAGGGGGAGTGGAGTGGCAGGCAGACACCCAGGCTCTGGGAGGGGCAGGCCGCACTGCGACCCCTCCCCGGGGCGCAGAGCTCCAACCCTGGCCCTGCCCTCCCTCCTGAGCCGCTGTCAGAGCCCTCTGTGACTCGCCCCCACCCCCAGCCCCCGTGCCTAATCCCACAGGAAGCAGGGGCATCTGTGAGCAGCAGCTGCCACCGGAGCCGGCCACACGGGGGGGGGGAGGGGCCTGGGGGGCCACAGTGGGGCCGGGGGCCCAGGTTCCAGCCAACCTTCTCCCAACCCCGAGCTGCAGAACAAGGCAGAATCGCCCTGCTTGCACAGCCCTGGGGCCGAAACGCTCACTGCCCCCCGGCAACGTGTCTGACCGCGGGCCGCCCTCCCAGCCCCACTCACTTGTATGAGGCCACCCGGCGCAGGTCAGAGGGTGCCAGGCGGTAGCCGCACTCCTCCCAGGCCTCCTTGCAGGCCACCTCCTCCGGCGAGAGCCCGGGCTGGTCCAGGAGGCCGGCGCATAGCTCGTAGGTGACCCCTGCCGAGCCAGGCAGCACCAGGGGCAGCGCCCGGGGCCTGTCCTGCTCCGCAGCTGCCAGGGACCCCGGGAAGAGACGCTCCACCTCGCCAGCGTACACGGCTGGCGGGGGGAGGCGACTGTGTCACGGCCTGTGGCAGCCGGCTCCACGTGACCAGCTCTGGCCAGAACCCCCAGCCAGGGCTGTTTCTCCCAGAGCCCCCTCCCAGGTCTGCATGCTGACCCCAGGACCCCAGGGGGCTGAATGTGAGCCCGCCGGCCTCCCCGCCCCCAACCTCACCTGGCCGGAACTGCTTCACCAACACCAGGCTCCTCCGGGAAGAGTTGAACATGAGGATGGTCACGCTGGGGACGGGGGCGGGGGGGGGTGGGGGGGGAGACGGAGCTCAGCATAGAAGCACGCCCTCACCTCGCCGCCCTCCTCCACAGCCCTGGAGGGTTGGGCCCCTTGCTCAGATGGGCAGACTGAGGCCCAGGCCAGGTCAGAGCTCGCCAGGGTCACACTGCCAGGTGAGGACCCAGGTCTCCTGTGTGTGCCGGGTGGCAGGAGTGGGAAGGACACGCTGGGCAGCTGGACAGGCTGGGGGTGGCAGCAGCTGAGGGCGCGGGAATGACGGGACACGTGGGCCCTGCAGGCCAGCTGCCGCAGCCACACACCTGAAGCCACGCTGCCCCCAGCCCATGCTCCTGGCGCTCCAGGCTAAGGGCGCCTGGGCGGCCCACACGGGGCCCCTCGGTGAGAGGCAGGGAGAGCGGGGGTGTTCAGAAACGCAGAGGGGGCTGCAGCTCCATGCCCTTGGGCCCCGTGTCCCTGCCAGCCTGGGGCTTCCCTGGTGCCAGCCATGCCAGGCCCTCACCTATCGTGAGTCTTCATGAAGTCCCACGACTTCTGGGCGCCATTCTAGAAGAGACAGGGCAGCAGTTGGGGAGTGCTCCAGAGAGCGAGGAGGCCCCGGGGGCCCACTGCAGCGTCTCCTCCCAGGAAAACCAGCCGTGGCCCAGGGCCCCTGGGACCCAAGAGGTGCAGCGGGTGGGCAGGGGGGTCCAGGGCAGCCGGGTGCTCCCCAGGAGTGACAAGGAAACTGGAGCAAGCGCTGGGGAGCTGCGGAGACGCTCGCTGTCACCCAGGCTGGGAAGGACCACGGGGTGGGGAGGGCCCCAGGCAGGGGGTGTCCCAAGTGAGTAGAGCAGAGATCAGGTCTTCACGGCTTAAACTTCCTTGGGCGCCTGGACAAAGGGCCACGTGAGGGCTGGGGGGGGCGGGTCACAGGAATAGTTGGGGGGTGTGCCAGCGCCCGGCAGGAGCTCACCCCATGGATGGGCTGTCAGGGGTGTGACCGGACAGGGGACCACCCTCTCCCCAGCCCGGTTCCGGCCCTGGGCTGTCTCTCCCGCGGCCCATGGTCCTGCTGCTCTGTCCCTTCCTTCCACCACCCTGCTCCCCTGCCCTGGGCATCCTGCCCCAGTGGCTCCCAGGGCTCCGGGAGGCATCCAGTGAACAGAAGGCAGCGCGGAGCAGGGGCCCAGGCCACCGGGGGCAGCCAGAACCGAAGCTAACGTGGTTCCAGATGGCAGGAGGCGTGAGGGGCTAGGACCCTGCCAGCTGGGCCGTTCCCCCTAGCCCTGAGCCCTCCTCAAAGAGGTCTCTGAGGATGCAGCTGGCCCTGGAGCCCGAGAGCCCAGCCCTGTGGATGCGCATCACCAGCTTGCTTAGCTCAGTGCCCTTCAGCCTCTGGTCCAGCCCTCTGCCCTGGTGAGCTACTGGCCCGACACACAGGTCCCTGTCCAAGCCACCAAGTGGACATGAACCTGAGCACCAGAGACAGAAAGTGTAGCCAGGGCTGCAGAAGAGAAGACAGTGAGCAACAGCCTCTGTGAGGACTTCCTGGAGGAGGTGACACTGCACCAGGACTCAGAGCAAAAAGGGCCTTCCCGGCAGGGGGACCTGACAGGCAGGGGCACACACGCTGGTCTCAGGGGAGCTGCAGAAACTGGGCTGAGCTTGGCCTGGAGGCAGCAGTGTCCTGGCGGGGCAGCAGCTTTGGTTTCTGGGGGGGAAGGAGAGCCGACGTCCTGTGCTGTGCTGGACGGGCTGCCCGGGAGGCCGTTGTGAGGCACCACCCCCGAGGCAGGCCTGGGCCTGCCTGCAGCCTGGCCACCCCAGGGCCAGCCACCCACCAGGGGGGCTTCCAGGGAAGGCCTGTCCCCAAGTCTGCTAAGTGCTGGGCTGTCCCCTGCCTCCCTCAGGGTATGAGTCACGCTGCATTGGTTTCAGGTACCCTCTGGGACCAAGATCACAACATCAGTCAAACCTGAGGTCCAGGCAAGGTGGAGGGGAGGGTCCAGAGAGGTCCACTGAGGGCCAGGCAGCCCCTCCTGCAGGACCCCCACCCAGGTGGTCCAGACCCAGGCCTGGCTCATCTTCATGGCACTGGGAGGGAGAACAGGACTGGAGTGTAAACACAGCCCCCTCCCCTTCAGAGCCACGGGAGTGCCCTGCCTCTGGATGATCAATCTATCCATCCATCAGATCTCCCCTGGCATAGTGGCTACTGAGCAAAGTTGCAGAAGCCCCTTGCTGACATTCACCACCCAGCCGTGTCCCATGGCCCCCTGCCTGTGCCCACTGCAGCCCGCCACCCACACGGGCTCAGCTTTGGTTACCAGCACCCATCCACCTTTCACAGGAAGTGGAGGAGGGTGCCACAGCCAGAGGCCACAGCGGTCAGGTGCATGGACCACCCTGTGCCCACCTGCTGCCCCCAGAGCCCTGGCCCCTGGGAGCTGTGTGGCCACAATCAGGCATCCTGGCCCCAGGCCAGCACCAGGGACAGGGCAGCAACCTCCACGTCCCTGTACTCTGCCCTCACCCCGCCCCGGCTTCTGCCCCAGGCCAGTGCTGCCAGCCTGGGTCCAGCCTGGGGACAGGACTCCCTGTCCCCTACGGCCAAGGGGACAACAGCAACGAGGGTGGAGGGGGGTGCAGCCTCCGTCAGGCTGGGGGTCAAGAGGCCGTCATAGTTTGGAGAGAGGAAGGGGCCTGGGCCGGGGGGAACAGGCTGCTGCAGGCCAAGGGCAGTCAGGCAGAGAGGGTCACCCAAGACCTGCACCCACCTGTCCTGACTGAGGGGCAGCGAGGGGCTCACAGACCTCGCTCTGGGGTGCGGTCCTCACCTGGATGGCACAGTGGACTCCAGGGGAGCTGCACGCAAAGGGTGGGGGCCCAGACTGGACAAACGTGTTTCCTGTGAACCTACTCCATGCACGGCGCCAAGGGAAGCAGCAGTGGTACCGCACTGCCTCCTGGGGAACGGCAGGAGGAGGTGATGCCCTGGGGGAGAGCCTGCAAGGACGGCAGGTGGAGACACGGAGGAGGCAGCCTGGGGAGCCCACCTGGAGAAGCTCTCCAGTGCACACCCCCGTCCTCAATCAATTCGCCTCCTTCTACCCAGAATGGAGACCACCACCTCCAGGAAGCTTGCCCCGACGCTTGGGGCGCCCAAAATGTCCCAGCACAAAAAGAGCCGGGGCTCAGCAAAGTCTTTTTGGAGGAACGAGTGGTCCCTTGAGGTGTCCCTGCCCAGACCCTCCCCGACCCCGACGTTCAACCGGCGTGTGAACCTGGACTCCAGCAAAGCGCTCCGCCGGGAGGTGAGGCCTGCGGGGCGGGACCACGAGACTCAGGGCTGGGCTCCTGGGGAGGGGGCGGGGCTGCGGGGGCCGCAGGCTGGGGGCGGGGCTCCGGACTCGAGGGTGGGCGGGGCTCCGGGCCGAAGGCGGGAGGGGTCCCGGGGCGGTGTCGGGCCGCGCGGGGAACGGAAGGCGCGGAAGATGCGCTCACCTGGCGGTAGTGCAGCGTGAGCGGCAGCAGGTACGGCGAGGCTGCGCAGCGGCTCACGGCCGCCCCCTCGATGCGCTCCATGGCGGCGCGCTGGCGCGTCCCCTGGCTCTGCGCATGCCCAGTGCGCGCGGCGCGGGGCGGTGCCGAGCGCGGGGCGGGCCCCGGGTGGCCCCTGCTCGGGTTCGTGCTGGTGGGGCGGCGGACGCGGGGCGCTCCCGGAGCCCGCAGGCTGGGAGCGAGGCAGGAGGCGCGCCCGCCGCAAGGTGCAGTCGGCCGAGCATGCGGCCGGCGGGGCGGGCGCGGCTGCAGGTTTGAGAGGCGATCGCCGCTGCCCGCTGCTCGAGGGACTTGGGCATCTTGGTCGCTAGGGAGCGACGCAGCGCAGCTTGGGGGAGGGGGCCCGAGCCGAGCGGATGTGTCCCCCGCTGGGGTTGAGCAAACCCGGGGGCGGGGAGAGAAGCCGGCGCCGCCGCCGCGCCCCCCAGAGAGGAGCGTTGGGGGCCGCGCGAAGGGTCATCCTGTGGGCGGTGGTGGCAAGAGCGGAGACACCTCTGGAGGCCCCTGGGTGGAGGGAGAGAAGGCTCTGGAAAGAGGGCAGGGCGAGAGGAGCCTGAACCTTCCCCTGAGGGAGGAGCTGCCACTCCTGTTTGGGGCTGCTACCCTCCCCCCGCCCGTGCCCCTCCCCGCAGTGGAAGGCCCCTCCTTCCTTGGGTGTGGACCTCCGAGACCCGCTTCAAATGCAGCCACCGCCTGCCCAGTAAGTGTTGGTAGTTCAGCCGTGTCCGACTCTTTGTGACCCCATGGACTGCAGCACGAGAGGTCTCCCTGTCCATCGCCAGCTTCCGGAGTTCGCTCAGACTCATGTCCGTTGAATCAGTGATGCCATCCAACCATCTCATCTCTGTCGTCCCCTTCTCCTCGCGCCTTCAATCCTTCCCAGCGTCAGGGTCTCTTCAAATGAGTCAGTTCTTCGCATCAGGTGGCCAGAGTATTGAAATTTCAGCTTCAGCATCCGTCCTTCCAATGAATATTCAGGACTGATTTCCTTTAGGATGGACTGGTTGGATTTCCTTGCAGTCTAAGGGACTCTCAAGAGTCTTCTCCAACACTACAGTTCAAAGCATCAGTTCTTTGGCGCTCAGCTTGCTTTATAGTCCAACTCTTACACCCATACGTGACTACTGGAAAAAACCATAGCTTTGACAAGACACGTTTGTTGGCAAAGTAATGTCTCTGCTTTTTATTATACTGTCTAGGTTGGTCATAACTTTTTTTTCCAAAAAGCAAGTATCTTAATTTCATGGCTGCAATCACCATCTGCAGTGATTTTGGAGCCCCAAAAAATAAAGTCTCTCACTGTTTCCCCATCTATTTGCCATGAAGTGATGGGACCAGATGACATGATCTTGAAAGTGAAGTTGCTCAGTCGTGTCCGACTCTTTGCGACCCCATGGACTGTAGCCCACCAGGCTCCTCCATCCATGGAATTTTCTAGGCAAGAGTACTGGAGTGGGTTGCCATTTCCTCCTCCAGGGTATCTTCCCAACCCAGGGATTGAACCCGGGTCTCCCACATTTCGGGCAGATGCTTTACTATCTGAGCCACCAGGGAATCCCTGGTGGGGATGATCTTAGTTTTCTGAATGTTGAGCTTTAAGCCAATTTTTTCATTCTCTTTTCACTTTCATCAAGAGGCTCTTTAATTCTTCTTCACTTTCTGCCATAAGGGTGGTATCATCTGCATATCTGATGTTATTGATATTTCTTCCAGCAATCTTGATTTCAGTTTGTGCTTTATCCAGCCCAACGCTTCTCATGATGTACTCTGCATGTAAGTTAAATAAGCAGGATGACAATATACAGCCTTGACGGGCTCCTTTCCCAATTTGGAACCAGTCTGTTGTTCCATGTCCAGTTGTAGCTATTGCTTCCTGATCTGCATACAGATTTCTCAAGAGGCGGGTCAGGTGGTCTGGTAGTCCCATCTCTTTAAGAATTTTCCAGAGTTGTTGTGGTCCACACAAAGGCTTTGCATAGTCAATAAAGCAGAAGTAGATATTCTTCTGGAACTCTCTTGCTTTTTCGATGATCCAGCAGATGTTGGCAATTTGATCTCTGGTTCCTCTGTCTTTTCTAAATCCAGCTTGAACATATGGAAGTTCATGGTCCACGTACTGTTGAAGCCTGGGTTGGAGAATTTTGAGCATTACTTTGCTAGTGTGTGAGATGAGTGCAATTGTGCGGTAGTTTGAGCATTCTTTGGCATTGCCTTTCGTTGGGATTTGGAATGAAAACTGACCTTTACCACTCCTGTGGCCACTGCTGAGTTTTCCAAATTTGCTGCCATATTGAGTGCAGCACTTTCACAGCATCATCTTTTAGGATATGAAATAGCTCAACTGGAATTCCATCACCTCCACTAGCTTTGTTTGTAGTGATGCTTCCTAAGGCCCACTTGACTTCACATTTCAGGATGTCTGGCTCTAGGTTGGTGATCATACCATTGTGATTATCTGGGCCGTGAAGATCTTTTATCTATAGTTCTTCTATGTAATCTTACCACCTCTTCTTAGTATCTTCTGCTTCTGTTAGGTCCCTACCATTTCTGTTCTTTATTGAGCCCATCTTTGCATGAAATGTTCCCTTGGTATCTCTAATTTTCTGAAAGAGATCTCTAGTCTTTCCCATTCTATTGTTTTCCTCTATTTCTTTACATTGATCACTGAGGAAGGCTTTCTTATCTCTCCTTGCTATTCTTTGGAACTCTGCATTCAAATGGGTATATCTTTCCTTTTCTCCTTTGCCTTTTGCTTCTCTTCTATTCATAGCTATTTGTAAGGCCTCCTCAGACAACCATTTTGCCTTTTTGCATTTCTTTTCCTTGGGGATGGTCTTGATCGCTGCCTCCTGTACAATGTCACGAACCTCCGTCCATAGTTCTTCAGGCATTCTGTCAGATTTAATCCCTTGAATCTATTTGTCACTTCCACTATATAATCGTAAGGGATTTGATTTAGGTCATACCTGATGGTCTAGTGGTTTTCCCTACTTTCTTCAATTTAAGTCTGAATTTGGTGATAAGGAGTTCATGGTCTGAGCCACAGTTAGTTCCTGGTCTTGTTTTTGCTGACTGTATAGAGCTTCTCCATCTTTGGCTGTGAAGAATATAATCTATCTGATTTTGGTATTGACCATCTGGCGATGTCCATGTATAGAGTCTTCTCTTGTGTTGTTGGAAGAGGGTGTTTGCTATGAGCGGTGTGTTCTCTTGGTAAAACTCTGTTAGCCTTTGCCCTGCTTCATTCTGTACTCCAAGGCCAAATTTGCCTGTTACTCCAGGTGTTTCTTGATGGACTATTACTCAGCCATAAAAAGAACAAAATATTGTCAATTGCAGCAATGTAGGCCTAATGATCATCATACTAAGTGAAGTAAGCCAGACAGAGAAAGACAAATACCATATGATATCACTTATATGTGGACTCTGAAATTTGGTACAAATACAGTTATCTACAAATGTAGAAAACAGACATGGTTATCAGGAGAGGAAGGGGGGAGGGATAATTTGGGAGACTGGGACTGACACACACGCTGTTATATGTGAAATAGATAACTGGTAAGAACCTAATATGTAGGACGGAAAACTCTACTCAATACTCTACCATGGCCTCTATGGGAAAAGAATCTAAAAAAGAGTGGATAAATGTATACATAGAACCGAGTCACTTTTCTGTACACCTGAAATTAGCACAACATTGTAAATCAGCTATACGCCAATAAAAATTTTAAAAAAGGAATGAAATTCTGACACATGCTATCACACGGAACAGCCTTGAAGACGTTCTGCTGAGTGAAAAGGCAAACAGAAGGTCCCGTGTGATATGAAATGTCCAGAATAGGTAAACGCATAGAGACAGAAAGTAGATTGGGGTTGCCGGGGCTGGGGGAGCAGAGAACAGGAACAGTGTCCTTTCTGGGTGACAGAATGTTCTGGAACTAGGAAGACAACATTGCCGATGTGCTAAATGCCAGTGAAGTGCAGAGGAGAGACGGTTAACGTGGTGTGACTTTCAGTTCCGTTTTCTTAAAAAAGGAAAAATACATCAGGGGCTTCCCTGGTGGTCTAGTGGTTAAGGGTCCGCCTTCCAGCTCAGCGGATGTGGGTTCGATCCCTGGTCAGGGAACTAAGACCCCACGTGCATGACTAGGGAGCCTGCATGCCACATTAAGAGCCCGCGCAGCTACAACAGTTTATTTAAAAAAAGGAAAAACACATCAGTGAGACTGCTCAGGGGCATTCCACGCTGGCTGGAACACCCTGGCCTCTGGTGGTGGGTCCGGACCAGGTCCCCGCAGGCTACTGAGGCCCTGGGGGCAGGAGAGGGGTCTGGAGTGAGACTGGAGATGTGCTTCTGGGGGCCTGTTGTGCGCACGCAGCTGGGAACTAGGGCTTGGGGTACGCTGGGACGCGAACACCGAGGGCAGCAGGGGGCTGGACTCGGGGGCCCAGGTGATGAGGCGCCGTCCACAGGGACCTGGAAGAGCAGGAGGAGGGGGTGCTGTGGCTCCCAGGGGAGCCGGCTGGGCCGGGCTGGGCCCCTCAGCAGCACCAGGAGCCTGGGAGGGGTCTAGGCAGGGGCGTCGGGGGATCGCCATAGCTGCCTGCTGGGGAGGGCGGGAGACCAGTGCGAGGGGCCTCAGCCACTGTCCAGAGCGGAGGCCATGCGGTGAGTGGCCTTGGGCCCTGTGGGAGCAAGTGCGGGAGGAGGAGGGAGTGGAGGATGGAGCGGGATGAAGGCCAGGGGATGCGGCCGCACCCCGGGGAGCCCGCCCGAAAGCCCCCTGCGGGTCTGGGGGCCTCAGAGACCCGGCCGAGCCGCACTAAGAGCAGACGTGGAGACCAACACACACGCGCTCGCACACACACGCGCGCACACACACACACACACTCTGCAGTGTCCGTGCTCCAGGGCCGCTGGGACAGACCACTGCAACCTTGGCGGCCTGAGACAGCAGGGACTGGTTATGCCGAGTTGTGAAGGCAGGCCTCCCTGCGCTGAGGCGAGGGGAGGGCAGGCTGCCTCCTGGGCTCCAGGGAGAACGGACGCTGGCCTCAGCGAGCTTTTAGAAGCCGCTGCTCTCTTGGCTCCTGGCCGGCACCTCCTCCCTCTTCACAGCCAGCGACACAGCAGCCCTGTTCCCGTCTGGACTCGGACCCACCGGCTTCCCCTCGAGACGACCCCGGCTCCCTCGTGAAGACCCCGGCCTCCTCGTGATGACCCTGGCCTCCTCGTGACGACCCCGGCCTCCTCGTGACAACCCCGGTCCCCTCGTGACAAACCTGGTCCCCTCGAGATGACCCTGGCTCCCTCTAGACAACCCCAGTCCCCTCGTGACGACCCCGGCCTCCTCGTGACAACCCCGGCCGCCTTGTGATGACCCCGGCCGCCTCTGTAGCCCAGGACACCCCCCAGGGCCCTCCACTTAACCATGTCTTTGCTGTGTGAGGTTCCACACTGGCGGGTTCTGGGAATACCGTGTGGACATGGGAGCCAGGGCAGGATCCCAGGTGGGGCGCAGCCTGCTGGGCCCCTGGCAGGACTCGGGGGTCTCCTGCTGGCCACTGCCTCGTCTTTCCCTCTAAGAGGTGGGGGCAGGGTCGTCTGCCACTACTGGGGCAGGAGGAGAAGGTGGCTGTGCACGGTCCCACGGGACCGGGGGCCCAGAGTCCCCGTGGGCTGGTGAGGGGCTAACTGGTAGCCCCAGCCTGGGGGATGCCCCGGGCGGTGTCCAGCAGTCTGGGCAGGTGGATGGGTGGACGTTGGCTTCCTCAAGGGCTCAGCCTTTCCCAGAGCAGGTGATGGGCAGCCCGGGGGTCCAAAGGTCAGGCTGGTCAGGGGGTTCCTGATGAGGGGATTCCTCCGGCGGGGGCAGTGGGGGCTGGCAGGCCGCGGAAGCCCGGGGTCGGGCTGTGGGTTTCAAAGCAGGCGTGGAGCTCAGGCCTGGACATGGGCAGAGCCAGAGGGGTCAGGGAGGGACAGGGTCGGGGGCATGGGGCTCCAGGGGCGCCCACCTTCATCTCGTTCTCCTCCTAGTCAGCATGCCCCCACCCGCCGGTATCTCCCCATTGGAGGACTGGAGGACCGCCGGCCTCCCCAGAGGCCCCTGCACTCTCGCCCTGACCCTGCTCCTGCCCAGGCTCGGAGCTCCTTCCCTCCCTGTGGTCTTGTCCCTCCTGCCCTGCCTGGCCTGGGTGCCCAGGCTCCACCGTGGACTCGTGGAGCTGGGGGAGACGTGCTCAGGCCCTGGCACCTTGGCCTGCAGCCCAGCCCTCCTGCTCGCCCCGACCCACCCTAAGCCCCCAGTCCCCTCTCCACACCGTCCAGCCCCGGCCCTGCCTGCCGCCCACTGGTCCCGGTCGGATCTGGGGTCTGTGTCTCCTGCTGCAGCAGCCCCACCCCTGCACCTCCAGGTGCCCCGCCCCTCCCTGGAGCCTCCCAGCCTGTGAGGAGGGGGCGCCTGCTGACCTCCGCCCTTTCTGGGGTCACTCAGAGCGCCCGCGGCAGCTCACAGGCAGCTGTCGTCCTCGACGGCTGAGCTGGGGGCGGGTGACACAGCGCCCCTTACCACTCGGGCTCCTCTTTCGCAGGGGGACGATGTGGGCCTGGGGAGGAGGTGGACTGCCTGGCCGGGCGGGGGTCCCTGAGGGCGGCCTGCCCCCTCCCCCTGGCATGGCCTAGGTGGCTTCCTGGCCCCCAACCCCAGCGGGATCTCCCAGGACAGAGTGGCCTGCACGGGCAGAGTTGGACGGAGCGGAGGCAGCGGGACAGTACCTGGCCCACGGGCCAGGGTCCCTGGGCGGGTCTGGAGGGCTGCAGGGGCGTGGGGAAGGCTGGGGCCGCGTAGAGGGTGGGGGGCGTGTGTGCGCCCCCGGCTCTGACCTCCCTCTGACCCCCCTCAGCACCAGCTCCTGGATGTGCACAGGCTTGCCCTGGGCCGGGGGCGGGACAAGGCCCGGCGTTCCCAACCCCCAGGCGCCCCAGGGTCTCGAAGGGAAACAGCACAGCCAGGAGCCCCAGGAACGCGCGCCCCGCTGCAGCCGGGTCCGCCCGGAAGGCGCGAGCCCGGGAACAATGCTCTTCGTGTGACAGACTTTCCCTCCGTGGGAGAAAATAGAGCTTGATAGAATGGCGGTTTCCTGCATTTGTGCTGTGCCAGAGAGTGGTTCACACAGGGACCTCCCACAAAGAGGAGCTCCTCGCCAAGTCGGCTGGGGCCCCAGCGCCCGGCAGGGGTCCACCCCCGTCCTCCAGGCCCCTGCCCTCCTCCCAAGCCTCAGCTCCAACCTTAGCAGCTTGCTTACATGCCGAGGGCCTGGCAGCAGCAGGGCTGGGAGGGGCATGGGGGCCTTCCTGGAGGAGGGGACTTTGGACAGAGTGGGCCATGAAGACAGCTTCTCAGGGGACAGAGAGTCCAGGGCAGAGCAGATGGGGTGCCACGGTGAGGGCAGGCCGTGGGCACTGGGTGGGTGCCGTGGGTGGAGGGCAGAGGTTACAGGGAGGCGAAGCAGCAGCAGAGACTGGGCCTCCTTCCACGTTCTGAGTGAGGAGGGGGGCGGCCTGGAGGCACCCCTGGATGTAGCGATGCTGAGTACTTATGGCCCATGAGGGCCGCCCCGGGCTGAAGGTCCCAGTGCCTCCGTCCTGGTCAGACCCAGAGCCCAGGGGACCACTGGCCTGTTGAGGTGGGCGGGCAGGATCCTGAGGGCACCCCTGGGGTCTTCCCCTTCCCTTTCCCAGAATAGGTTTGTGGACAGGGCCTGGGAAGAGGGGGTTTGATGCGGAGCAGGGCGCCTTTGGCCGGGATGGAATGCCAGGCCCAGGCTCACACTGCGGGGTTCTTGGGCCATGTGCTGAGGACGCTGTCTCCACCCACCTCTCCCCTGAGGACAGGCCACCGGCCGGCCCTCATGCCCAGTAATTCCAGTGCTGATGCACCCTCCAGGGCACACAGCCTGGCAGGCTGTCCCGGCTTCCATGTTTCAATCTTTCTCTGTCCCTGGACATAGGGACTCGTGAGCTACGAGCCACCCACCACACCCCAGCCCAGGGGGGCCACCCTGTGGTCACTGGCCTCTTGGTCTCTCCTAGGGGAAGCCCTGCCTGACCACCCTCCTGCCTTCTCCTGCGGCTTTGGCCACTCTCACACCCAAAGCCCACCACGGCCACACCTCTCCTTGGAGCTTACACCTCACCCCCCCATTCGGGGCCCAGAGCACAGAGGCGGTGGGATCCACTGCCTTGCCCTGGGGACACAGGGCCCTTCTCTGCAGGTGCTTCAGACAGCATTGCAGGGCAGGGCCTCAGGGCCGAGATGAGGCTTCCCTAGGACACCCTGCCTTTTCATACTGCTCATGACGTTCTCAAGGAGAGAATACTTAAGTTGCAAAAAACTAAGACCATGGCATCCAGTCCCATCACTTCATGGCAAATAGATGGGGAAACAATGGAAACAGTGACAGACTTTATTTTCTCGGCCTGCAAAATCACTGCAGATGGTGACTACAGCCATGAAATTAAAGGATGCTTGCTCCTAGGAAGAAAGGCTATGACAAACCTAGACAGTGTGTTAAAAAGCAGAGGCATCACTTTGCCGACAAAGGTCCATATAATCAAAGCTATGGTTTTTCCAGTATTCATGTATGGCTGTGAGAGTTGGACCATAACGCAGTGCTGAAGAATTGATGCTTTCGAACTGTGCTGTTGGAGAAGACTCTTGGACTTGCAAGATCAAACCAGTCCATCCTAAAGGAAGTCAACCCTGAATATTCATTGGAAGGACTGATGCTGAGGCTTCAATTCTTTTGCACCTGATGCGAAGAAGTGACTCATTGGAAAAGACCCTGATGCCGGGAAAGATTGAAGGCAGGAGGAGAAGGGAACGACAGAGGATGAGATGATTGGATGGCATCACTGACTCAACGGACATGAGTTTGAGCCAATTCTGGGAGATGGTGAAGGACAGGGAAGCCCGGCGTGCTGCCGTCCAGGGGCCACAAAGAGTCAGACACAACTGAGTGACTGGACAACAGGACATCCAGCCTCAAGCGGCCCCGCTGCTCCCCCACCCCCAGCCCCGACGTACCAGGCCGGCCTGCCCACGGCTGCTGCTGGCCTCAGGGAGCAGTGGCGCACCACAAGGGTGGAAGGCCCCTCCTGCCCACTGCCCTGCTGCCCCTGCCTTCCCTGGGGCAGGCACCCTGCACGGGGTCTGGCCCCCACTCCTCGCCCCACCCCCAGTTCTTCACAGGCGTTCCCCCCAAATCTCGGCCACATCAGCGCCCCACTTGGTCTTTCAGATGGATCAAGTTCAAGGCGTCACCCTCTCTCCTGGACATTGTGACGTCCAGGTGGCACGGTCCCCCTCTTGCTCTGACGGGTGCCCCAGCCGTTTGCACGAGCTCACTGCCCCTTGTGAAGCACTGGTGTCATCCTGGTGCGTCGCAGCTGAACTCAGAGCGGGCTGAGGCTGCAGACGTCCAGCACCGCGGAGATGCGCCCCTGGTGGAGTCTGGGTGAAAGCGCTCCCCGGGGCTCCTCTGGCCTCAGGCAGTGGCATCCAGCACCCCTAAGACCTCTGGGACCAACTGCTCATGTTAAATAACCACAGTGATAGCCATGATGATTTTTTCTGGTTGAGTTGGACTGAGTCAGGGAGGGCTTTGCAGGGTGGAACACAGCGTGTGGGGTGAGGGGAATACTCAGAGGAAGGCACTGCAATTCCAGGGCTCTAGGGAGGGGAGGCAGGCCAGGCCGGCCCAGAGAGGTCCGTCCTGTGTGGTGGGAAGGGGGCAGAGCTTGGGTAAGGACAGGGGAGCTGTGTCTACCATCACCTGCAGACCCCACTCTCAGCTGTGGGTGAGCACGTGACTGAGGCCGGGGCCTGGTGAGTGGGCAGCCTTGGAGCAGGGACGGATGAGGAGGCCTGCCGTGGCCCCAAGTGGACCGCCTGTCCAGGATGGGCGGGACTGCTTGGTGGAACCCAGTGAAGGAGCAACAGGTCTGGCCCAGGTGGGGAAGTACTGGGAACCCCGTCTCCCTCTTCCTCCACCAGGCCACAGTCCTGCCCAGCTGGAGCCCCAGTGGGCTCCTCCTGCTGAGGCAGTGGAAGCTGAGTTCCACCCTCTGGGACTTGGGTTCTGCCTGCTGCTGTTCTTAACCTCGTGGAGCCTGTCACCCCTGACAAGGATCAGAGGAGGAGCACAGGCCTGCGGGGGGCACCCCTCTGCCCAAGGGTCGTCCTCCTCCTTCCCCGCCTCTCCCGCAGCTCTATGATATCTGATCTCATGAGCCCAGCCCCCATCAGCCTTCCCCGGGAGCGACTGTTCTGGCTCGTCCGTTCACCCTGCAGACGGGCACACGGAGACCCAGAGGAAAGAGCTGAGATGAGACCAGCTTTGCCCCTGGTCTGGCTCGGAGCCCCCGGCCCAGGGCCCAGGGTGGCCTCGGCGTCTGGGCCTCAGCTCGGAGCGTTTCCTGCCTGCCCGCCCCAGCCCAGCCCCGCAGGAAGTGGCCGCCTCCTGAACAAAGGGGCCGGCGGACAATGGCCATTGAATTGGGCCGGGGCGCTCGCGCACGGACAGGCCACCAGCTGCCCGCGCTGATAAGACCACTCCGCGGACTCCACGGGCTCCTCTGGACCCCAGGCGGGGTCTCGCGGCTGGCGCGCCACGGCCGGCGAGGCCGCGGCCCGCAGACGGGCGGCCAATGGGGAGCCAACCGGCGCCCCGCAGGCTCCTCCCCCACCTGGCCCCGCCCCACGAACGGGCGACCAACGGGAGTCAACCCTAGGCGGCCCCGCCCCCACAGGCCCCTCCCCACCTGGCCCCGCCCCGCGGGCGGGAGGCCAATGATGAGCCAACCCGGGGCAGGCACGCCCCCAGCAAGCTCCTCCCCCGCCTGGCCCCGCCCCAGCACGCACGCCGGCTGGACCTGTCGAGGGCTGCAGAAGCCGCTCTCCGAGAAGTGTTCCCTCGGAAAGCGGAGGATGTTAGCGCCTCCAGCGTTTCCTGCGCCTACTGGAAAAGTCGGGGAGGGCGGCCCTAGCTCTCTGCGAGGGTCACGCGCGGCTCGCTGTGCTCCGAGAGTGGAGCGGGCAGCCTGATCCTCATGCCTGCCTGGGGCAGTCCTCTCGAGGCACCCGGACACGTGGTGAACACGGTCAGCTCTGTGTACAGAGGCTCAGTGCCGAGAGCCAGCTCCAAGAGAGAGCAGTGGGGCTGAGGTCAGGAGTCAGCCCTGAGCTGGTTCTGCAGGGCCCAGGTGACCCAGGTCATCACCCCTGGTCTGGGAGGCTCTGAATGTGGCAGGGGGTGTCCGCGTCCAGGAAGGCATCGCCTGGAACCTGCAGGGAGGACAGGACTGAGAGGGGCAAGACCTAGAGGTCTAGGAGAACCAAGACCGGCTCTTTCTTCCCGGTGGGATGACACAGCCCACTTCCGGGCCTCACATGCCCCAGGCAGGGCAGGGGCCTGGGGAGCTCAGGTCTGCAGCAACCCTGTTCTGTCTGTCCAGCCATGATGGTGGCAGTGGCTGTGGATAAGGTGGCCATTGGAGCGTTTGCATGGTGACTGCCAAGGTTCCAGGGGTGGGGTTGGGTGGGGAGAGATGGTGATGGGGGTGGTGGTGCACCAGCAGCTTGTGGTCGTGGGCAGAGCCGCATGGCAGAGTGCTGGGGCTGCAGTCACTGGGGGTGGTGCTGTAAGCCTGCCCACGTAGCTCCAGGTGCTTCAGTGAGGCTGCCCAGACTGCCACTCAGTGGCCTGGGGTCATGCCCTCCAAGGAGCCAGATGACCCCTGCCAACTCCTCTAGCCCCTCTTGCTCACGTGCTGTGAGCACCCCATCTCCTGACTAACCGAGCTAACTGTGGTCACTGGGCAGGTAGACACACCCGACCTTCAGGTGGACGCAGCCGGGCCCTCTCGTGGACTCATGCCAACCCTGGTCTGCCTGCTGTGTTGTCCTCCACCCTGTGCTAGCCCTGGCTGTGTCCTGACCTGACTACCTTCTCCACTCCACCCTTGATCCGAAACCTCAGAACTGTGGCCGCCCTCCTGCCAGAGGCCACGTGGGACCCCGTGCCCATCTCGATGCCTCACCGTGGTCTCCCCAAGCACGGCCAGGTTCTCACGGGTCACATGGTGTTCCGGGAGCCATCCAGGCTGGGCCACAGACCCCCGGCCTGCATGAGCAGCTGCCCGCCCAGCCTCCGCCCAGCACCAAGCCCACCGCTCCGAATGCAGGAAGTGGGAGGCCCGGTGGCTTCTGACTCCCACCCTTTATCAGCCCACGCCGCTTCCTGCGGCCCGCGCAGCCTGCACCCGCGGCGTCGGGACACTAGCTCACCAGTGACTCATCGAGAGCCTGCCCTGGGGACACCTGAGCCCACGCCCCCCGACACCTGCCCTCAGCCCAGCCCACATCTGGCTGGCAGGGCCACCCACCGGCATCTCCCCATCTTTTAGTCCGTCCCTCCCTCCCCCATCCACAACCAGAAGGGCTGAGGTGCCCCTACCTCTTTGTGCCCCCCAGTTCCCAGTGCCCATAGCCAGTAAGGTGGGCAGCCAGAGCTGCAGGGCAGGGCCCACGGGGCTGAGCACGAGCTCCTGCTCTGAGCCCAAGACCCTTTGTGGCCACAAGCCACCCTTTGTGGCTTGCTCCCTCCCATGGGCCCTGCTGTCCTCCAACCCCTAGGAGCACCAAAACCACCACCTCTGGGGACCCTGAGCTCTCACCACCTCTCCCGGTGCAGTCACCCAACCCCAGGCTGGCGGCCCACCTTCCTCCTCTGGGCCCCATCATGGCCTGTCCAGCTCCTCCGTCTTCTGGTCTCAGTGTGGACCCCTCTTCCTCCAGGAAGTCTTTTGGACCGACCCCTACGCCTCTCCCATCCTGGGGCCTCCCAGGGGATGCCTCCACTCCACATAACTTGTCTCTGACGTTTCCTGGGCCCCCAGACTGCACCAGCGGGAACCCAGAGTCTGCTGCTCACGGGCAGACCCCTCCTCCCTCACCCCAGTGCACCCCTTACCCAGTGCGCCTGGGGACACCGTGTGGGTCAGGACGGGAACTGAAGTTGGGGGTGGGATGGGGCAGAGAGGGCACTGGGAGGCTCATCTTGGTCTGAACTCGCAGGCACCCGCTGGGCCAGATGTAAATGCTAAAGGAACCACCAGCAGTGGGGTGGGGAGTGGGCCCTTCCCAAACAAGTGCAGACCCCTCCCTGGAGCCAGGTCCTTGTGGCACTGACCCCCACGCGTGCACGAGTGTGCACACGCATGCACACACCCTACAAGAGGGTCCTCGTGGCACACACCAGCCATCCCCCTCAGGCCCACCCTGTAGGGCCACCTGCAGGCTGGCCAAGTAGAACCCCCTGCCACTTGCCATGCCTGTGGGACTAGAAGTGGGGACTCTGCTCAGGGTGTGCCCACGTGTGCACAACGCTCCTTTGCACCCTGTGGCCTGGCACATGACCACCACGCCACCCCCTCACCCCCAAGGTTCACATTCCCAGGCTGGGTCAGTGACCATCGCTGGGAAAGTCTGTCTCTGCCCAGGGCCCAGCTGGGGTCCACCAACTAGGGGGAGGGGTGGAGTGCCATCCACAGGCTGGTGAGCTCAGCGCCCAGCCCTCAAGCCACCTCTCCATCACTGCAGGCCCTTCCGCCTGCTCCCTGGTGACAACCACAGGGCCCTCCCGCTCAGCCCTGCCCGGCGCCGCGGCCCCCTCGCCTCTGCCCCGCACAGTGGCTCTGCTCATGTCCACTCCTGCTGTCGCATTTGCCCGCAGCATGGGGGCCGTTCCCCTGGGAGTTGTCCCTGTCCTCACGGCCGACCACAGACCCTCAGAGCTTCGGCAAGGTCTGCTGAGTAAGTAAACCCATGAACTGATGAACGGGGACTGTTTTCCAGAGCCCTGCATGTGGCTGGAAGGAACACATGGCAGGGGCTTGTGGGGAGGGAAAGCAAGAGGTGAAAGACCCCTGGGAGATCTGTCCGGGGTCCCTGCCCCCTGCCTTCAGGTCCTGTTGGTGTGGCCCCAACTGACCCAAGACCTCCCACCCTGGGAGCGTCCCCCCAGCTGCCAGCTCAGCTCCACAGCTGCTGAGGCTGGTGGCAGGGCCCACGGCAGCCAGGCCCCCATCAAGCCCTGCATGGGCATTTTCCCAGGCCCCACCAAGGCGGGCACCTGGCAGACAATGTCCTTATTCACTATGACCTCTGGGTGGGGGAAGCGATTACTCAGTCTCCATGGGGTGAAGGGCCTTCCTCGCCAAGGAAAGGACAGTCTCCACGCTGTCTGGCAGGGCGGCGCTGCCTCCAGCTAGCCAGGCCTCCGGGGCTCAGCTGAGTCTGCGTGGCCTCTGCAGGTGCCCGTGTGATGTGTGGCAGCCTGCCTGCCCGCCGCAAGCCTGCCTGGCACCTGTCCCACCACGGCCTTCCACTGGCCTCGCCAGGGCCAAAGTGGTAGTGACGGCCGGGTCCCACCATTCTGGCCCCCTGCCCTCCCGGGACCTACGTGGACCATTGTGTGATGGCTTCCTGAGCCACACTCCTCTCGCAGCAGGAAGGCCAGAGCGCCTTGCCTCTGCCACCGCCCACAGCCCCTGGGAGGGGCCTGGGCGGTCAGGGCCTGAGGCCCGCAGCCTTGGAACGCATCCCTGGGACCCCACCCCTTGCCAGCCTGGCTGGGGCCCAGGCCTCCCCAGGGACAGGTCGGCCCTCCAGGCACGTAGGCCAGGACGACGCGGGGAGGCGCCAACCAGCCGGGGCAGCTGCTGCCTGCCCGCGAGCGACCCTGACTCGGGAGCCCCCACCCCCAGGAGGTAATGGCCTGTCGGGGCCCCCAGCGGGCCAGTGTGCACGTGCAGAGGGCCGGCTGTCCTGTGGATGTGGCCACAGGGAACCAGGAGATTGTGGGGAGGACCCCTGGGCAGGGGCCCAGAACCCAAGGCAGTGAGGCGGGCAGCCACCCACCACGGGACGGATGGGCAGCAGCTGCCCAGGAGCCTAGCGTCCCCCACCGGCCCGGCTGGTCCTGGGGCGCCCCCTGCTGCCCGGGGCTGGCCCTGCAGTGCGGCAGCAGCGGGGGCTCCCCGGAGGCGCAGGCGGCTGGGCTGAGGGTCTGGGCTCAGGGGGTCCACCGGGCCCTGAGGCTGAGACGAGGGGTGGCTGGAGTCCCGGCAGTAGAGCCTGGGGTGACACGTGGGCCCACAGACGGGCAGGTGCTGCTTTCTGTCCACACTGATCCCCATGGTCTTGCTGGGCAAGGGGGTCCTCAGCCCAGAACAGGGTGGGCGTGTGGGCGAGCCTGGGGCACCCACACCGGTGGGGGTGCCACAGAGCGGGGGTCCCGGGGGCAGAGCCATCCTGGCCTACCAGCGACTGGATGGTGCATCAGAGAACAAAGACCCTGAACAGGGGCTTGCGGCTTCAGAGGCAGCCTTTATTGTGCTGGGAGCAGCGTCCCCAGGGTCTGTGCTGGACCCCGCCCGGGACCTGGGAGGCGGAAGCTCGGCCCTTGCCTGGCAGCCTGAGGGCGGCCAGGCGGAGGTGGCCGTGGGCCGTGCCCCTCGAGGCAGCGTGGGCGAGTCCGCACCCTGGTGACCCCAGGCCTGAACGTCCTCGCCCTCCCGGGGCCCCTCTCAGCCCAGGGGGAGCAGGAGCCCCTCTCCGGGCCCCAGACTTGCAGCCTCGCTTGGCCAGTGCTCCAGCCTGCTGAGGAACGGATGGAGGACCGGGGTGTGGAAACAGCAAAGGGGCTCGGGGAGGGCAGAGCTGGACGGGAGGAGGGCATCGGTCCAGGGCGGCAAGACGGGGGGCTGGCCTGCACCTCGCCCAGTGCTGGGCCGTGGGAGCAGCGGTTGTGTGGCTGCCAGTCGGCAGGGCACAGTGGGCACTCAGGCTGGGCTCTAGCAGAGGGGTATCAGGGACCCTGGTTCTCAGGGGCCCCCCCGAAGCCGCCCGTCCCTCAGAGAGACCCCCAAGCGCCCGCAGAGGCCGTGGTGGCAGCAGGCGGCCACCAACTCTGCTGCCCATCTGGAGGCCTGACCCACCTGGACACAACCGTGGGAGCCAGGAGGGCGTGGGGAGCCACTGGGAGGGGGGCAGGCATGCAGGCCGGGGCCTGGGCAGGCTGGCTCGGGAAGGGGCTCCCTGCCACCTGTGGGCACCAGGGGTGTCTCGGGCCTGCCCCCCCTTCTTGGGGGGCCTGAGGCAACAAGTGGCATGCCGCAGTGGCCCACCGAGTCCCGCCAGGAAGGGCGCCTGTGGTCCTGACTCCGTGGCCCAGAGGAGCGGGAAGGGTGCGAGGTCACGGAGCGCGGCATGGACCGGGTGCCAGCAGGCGCTGTGTCCTCTGCGGGCGGCGGGAGGCCCTGTCACGGGGGCCCTGCGAGGGCGCCCAAGGCACCATCAGGCCTTGGGCCCCAGAGCTCAGCCCCGCTGGGGGTGGGCCTGGGTCTCGTCAGAGCCCGGGGCCCGGCGCCCTGACGGTGGCCCCAGGGACACGGGTGGAGCAGCATGAGCAGCACCGGCGTGTCCGTGCACACGTGTGCGCCTGCAGGTGTGCAGGCCGTGCAGTGCTCTCCCGGCCGGCCCTCCTCCACCCCCCAGGCTGCTGGGGGTGAGCTGGGAAAGCAAGACTGACGGGGAGAGCAGGACACCCGCAGGAGGGGCAGGCAGGGGAGCTGGAAGGCCCTGGCCTCCCGCTGGAGGAGGGGCAGGGCACGTGGCGGGGACGGGCCGCCCTGGGCGCCGTGCACGCAGGCCGCCCCCCCAAGCTGTTCCCGGTGCCGTGCGGGGCCTGGTGGCCAGTCGCGTGCCCTGCTCGGGCGAGGCCCCATGGAGGACCCTGCTGACCTCAACCTGAGCGGGTGCAGCTGGGGACGCGGCCTCCGCACCCTGCGCCTCACCCTGCGGCTGCCCCACGCTTTCTCCTCCCCGGACGTGCTCGGCCCGCTCCCCCACCCCCCAGCTCAGCAGCCTCACCTCTGCAGGCCGGCCTGACCAATGCCCCCAGCCCCGCAGGGCCATCAGCCCTGCAGGACGGCCCCGTGTCTACCTCCCGAGGAAGCATCCAGCCACCTCTGTGTCTAGAACGCGGCCTGGCCACCCCCACAGCCACCAGCCTCCCGCCCCCAGAGGCTCCTGGGCTCCGGCACAGCGCAGCACCTGCTCCCCGTGCGGGGCAGGGCCCCCCATCCACGAGGCCCCTCTAAGAGCCTCTGCCGGGGCCCAGGGCCTTCCTGTGAGGGTGGGCAGTCACCGGTTCCCCAGCTGACAACCGGGCACCTGTGGAGCCTGGAGACCCCGCACCCCCCCAACCTCGCTCCTCCAGGGAGCCGGATAGGGCTGCAGACCACACACTCAGCAGGTTTCAGCTCAAGCAACGATCTTCCTGTTTCACCAGCCAACCTTCCACTCCAGCTTGCCAGGTTGCCTGGGGTCCCAGCCGAGGGGCAAAGCAAGGGCCTCGAAATCCCCCCGTGAGCCGTGATGCCCTCTGGGGTGGACACCACGGGGCCTGCCCACCCGGGGTGGTGGCTGAGCCCCCAGGGGCAGGGGGCTGTGGCTCTGCCACCGTGAGGGGTGGGTGGCCAAGGCTGGCCTGGAGGAGCGGAAGCCTCTGTGGACCCCTCGTGGGCGTCCCCCGCGCAGCCATGCCCAAGGCCAGGGCAAGTGCTCTGGGCCTTCCAGCAGTGAGGCTGGCCCAGGAGGTTCCGAGTGCCCTCAAGAAGAGGGCCTCTGCCGGTCACGCCTCTGAGGACAGGAACCCAGGTGCAGCTCAGGCAGGAGGTGCCCAGACAGCTGCACCCGCGTCTGCCGAGTGGTGCCGGCCGCCCCGCGGGGCCGGGCGGACTGTGGGCTCCTTGGTGCACGTCTGCGAGGTGCCCGGGCCCGGGCACAGCGGGGAGGGCCTGGCTGGGCGTCAGCAGGACGCAAAGTGCTTCTCAGACGCAGTGAGGCGGCGAGAGGCGCAGGCTCCCGGCCCCCAGGGCAGAGCAGGGTCCGGACCCGCCAGGCCTCCACAAGCCTGGACACGCGGCCGGGACTCCCTGGGCCACAGTTTCTCTCCACAGGACGCAGCAGAGCCATCGGCAAGGGTTCCTGGGGCAAGAGACCCAGCTCTGCCGAGAGACGGATACGCTCCTCACGTTGCTCGCATCAGGGTCCCGACAGCGAGGCCACGAGGTCGCGGGCAGCTGTGCGCGAGGGCCGCCGGGCAGCGGGGCACCCATCCTGTCGCGAGTCTCGCCGCTCACCAGGGGCTCACCCGAGGCCGGGGGCCGTCGGGAGCTGGCGGTGCGGCCACCAGCGGACGCGCCGGACGCGGGGCCACCTCAGTAGCCATCGTCGTCGTCCCCGTCACAGCCGTAATCTGCAGAGCGCGGGGCAGTGACCGCGAGGGCGGAGGCCGCTGCCCCGCGCCGCCGGCCCCGCCCCCACCGACGCGGCCCCGCCAAGCGCCCGCCCACACACACCGTCGCCGCCCATCATCTGCAGGGCGCTGACGCAGGGCTCCCCGTCCTCCTCCTCCGCGTCCTCCTCCTCCGCGTCCTCCTCCGCGTGGTACGACACAGGCCCGCTCTCAACCACGACGGCCGCGGGCCTGACGCGCTCGGCCTCCAGGGAGCGGGCGCTCGGGACAGAGGCCTGCAGGCGAGGCGAGGGCTGTGCAGGCGCGGGCATGCTCCGGGCCACCGGGGCAGGACCGCCCCGCTGCTGGGCCCCGGCTCCCGGAGCCCGCCCCGCTGCCTGGGAGGGCGCGCCCTCCGCACACCGATCGAGCACCCTCTTCCCCGAGGATCCCGGCCTGGCCCAGCCCCGCCCCCCGCCAACGCACCTCTCCAAGCGCCACCTTCTTCGCAGGCTGCGTCGACACCATCGGCCTCAACCTGGAAGAGCACACAGCGAGGCGGCCTCAGCGCAAGCCACACCCCCGCCCGGAGAGGCCTGCCTCTGACCGCACCTGGCCGGGTGTGGAGGCCAGGGACGCTGGTCCTGTCCCCAGGGGCCTCAAGTGCTGGCCCCACAGTTGCCTCCTGCACCCAGGCCTGGCCGCCCTCCACCCACCCCGACCCCGCGGGCTGGGCAGGTCGCTGACAGGCAGGCCACCCTCTTGGCCTGCTCGCGTCCACGCAGGGCACAGTGGGGGGGACTGGGACCCTCAGACTGCAGCCGCCATCGTCCTGCCTGCACTGCGCTGGACACACCCACAACGGACCCCGCAAGAGCCTCCAGCGGTGGACACCCAACAGCAGGGGTCTCTGGCTGGACCATGGGCAGCCTGGCCCGCCAGCAGCAGGGGCTGAGGGCTCTCACGGGGGCCCTGGCTCCCTGTGGCCCTGGCCGGCAGCCTGGAGCGGGAGGCGGCAGGTGAAGGCACGGCTGTGCGCGGGCTGAATCGGTCCCTCCCGCTGGACGGTTCTCCAGGGAAACGGGTGTGCGGGGCTGCAGCAGCAGTGACCCGGGGCGGGCAGAGCAGCCCGGAGTCCCAGAGCCCAAGAGGTGGGAGCCAGAGGCACGCTCCTTAGCACCCAAGGGCCGCCCCAGGGGCAGGGCGCATCAGCGGTGCAGGGGGAAGGCCAAAGGGACAGGCCTGTGTCTCGGGCCCTCCTCTCGGCGTGCCCCACAGCCGTTCACACGCTGCCCCGCGGGCGGCCAGGCCCTGAGCAGGGCCTTCGAGCACCAGGGACACTGACGGAGGAGGCGGAGGGTGGGGGTCCAGCCCCACAGGGCCCAGCACCCCCTGCCCCCCGGGAGCACACCCGGGACCAGATGGGGCGCACGCCAACCAGCCTCGGGCCTAACGGGAGCCTGAGGGGCGGGTGTGCAGAGCTGCCTGGGCCTGTCCACGCAGGGAGGCCCACCGGCCCCAATGAGGAGGGCCCTGTGGCCGCGTTCCCAGCTTCTCCCAGCCCTGCCGGCCCCGCTGTGGTCTCCTCTCCCAGGGTGGGGCAGTGCCGGGGCTTCCAGAGCCCCTGGGTGGGCAACAGGCCTGGCCTCCCCCCCACCCCATTTCTTCAGTCAGGACCGTCTCTGATGCTGCGGGCCTCGTCCAAGCCTGGAGCCCCACTCAGCTCCCCACCATGGTGGCGGGGGCTCCGGAGGCCGACACTGGTTTCTGGCATGCGGGTGGTGAGTGACCCCAGCCTGTCCCCCAGGCCCACCCGGCACAGTACCTCTTGCCCACGCTGGTTGAGGGGTCAGGCCGGCTTCTCCTGGAGGGCGTCTTCCGCCGGGACAGCCTCCGGGCACTGGTCCGCTCTGGGGGCCGGGCGGCCTCCCCCTGGGGGGCCGTGTCCTCCCCGGGCGGGGGGCCATGCTCCCGGGACGGGGGGCCATCCTCCCCGGGCGGGCCGCCCCCACTGTCCAGGCCCCGCAGCACGCTATAGTTGATCTTGCTGGAGATTTTCTTCTGCTCCAGCATCTTCTCGATGGCCTCCCCGGCCGTGCTGGCCTGGATCGGCTCCCGGCGCTTGCAGGACTTCTTGGGCTTGAGGGAAACACAGAAATTACGCTTCCTGTGGGTCTTGGTGCCACGAACCAGCGAGGTGCCAGTCAGGACGTAGGGGGCACCAGCTGGACTCCTGGGAAGGAGACTCACGCCATCAGGGCTGGCTGGGGCCTCTCACCCTCCCCGGAGACACGGGCCCCTGGGTAGCCAGCACTGCCCTTGGCCCACGGCCCACCGAGCAGCCCCCAGCCGTCCTGCGCCTCAAGCGGGACCACCCAGGGCAGGGGCCAGCCATCTGCGGGCGAGAGGCTGCCAGCACAGCCTGGAGGTGTGCACTCAGGACCCTGGCCGGGGGCGGGGGGGCGCCCACCTTGTGCTCCTTGTAGATGCCCAGCTCCCTCTCCTTCGCGATTCTCGCTTCTTTCTCTGAAAGACCGAGGAGCGGGGTCAGCGAGGCCCGTGTCCCGGGCACCTGGGCGGGCGCTGGGCGGGCACTCACCCTTCTGCTCCCGCAGGTACTCAGCATTCTCCCGCATCCAGAGCTCGGCCTTCACGCGGGCTTCTGCCTCATTCAGGATGTACTGGGGCAGAGCACAGGGTCACTCAGAGGGCATGCCTGGAGCTCAGCCACAAGGCTGCCTGCTTGGTGCGTGCCAGTCAGGAAGCAGGTCCCTGACCCAAGAGGGAACGTGTGTGGAGCCCGAGCTCACAGCTCGCCGTCCCCCACCCTCCCCGGGCCAGCCCCAGGGTTGCACCCTCCCAAGCAGCTCGCAGGCCCCAGGCCACAGGAGCCAGGCCCGCCAGAGTGCAGGCTCAAGGGTCCCAGAGAAGGAGCTGCGCTGACGGCCACAACAGCAGCTGAAGAAACGGCAGTGGCCACAGGCCTGAGGCAACTGCTGACAAATCAGGGGAAGGACTTCCTGCTGCCCGCGGACTGGCATTGCCGGTCAGCCTGCTCAGAGCCCACCACCACCGCAGGCCTGGGACTCCCCAGGGGGCGCAACCTGGCCCCCACCCCGCGAGGCCCCATGCGCAGGCAGCGCCTACCCGGTCGATCTCGAGGTCGTCGATGCCGCTCAGGTCCAGCTCCCCATCCCCGCAGGCATCCTCTGAGGGGAAGCACAGGCTGGACTCAGGCTCGGCCTCCCGTGAAAAGGCGCACAGCTCACCTGGGGCTGGCTCGGGGCTTGGGGCCCCAGGCTGGGCCAGGGCGGCTCCAAACCTCTCCCCCAACGCTGCTCCCAGGGCCTCATGGGGGAAACAACTCTGACCCAGAGGAGACCCTGTCCTCACGCTCCTTACGGAGGAGCTCCTCAACAACGTTCCAGGGAGGGGGTCCCAGGGAGCCTCCATGACCACGCTGAGGAACCCCCAGACCTCTGGGCTGCCACCCTTCCGCCCCCTCAGTCTGCGGGTCCCGGCCCACAGAGGGGCAGTCGGGTCGCCCTGCGCCCTCACTGCCCGCAGCGGGGGCCCTGCTCTCGGCTGCAGCCAGGACGGCCTCTTGCTGCCCCCGGGCCCCGTGCGAGCCCTCTGCTCAGTGCCCTGCACCCGGGCGCCCTGGCACAGCAGCCCCGGGGGTGCAGCCTGTTCGTGCCCAGCAGGTGAGCCAGGTCTGCGTCAGGGCCCCCGTCCGCCTGCAGGGAACAGCGTGGGCATCGAGCAGCGTCCCGCTCACAGGGGCTCCTCACACAGAGGCCAAGCCCCCAGTGCCAGGGAGGAGATGAGGCCACGCTCACATGAGACGCGAGGGAACCAGCCCTGCCTTCCTCGTGGGGAGGGCCCCGCAGGCACTGGAGCCCAGCAAGCAGTGCCCGTCCGTCCAGTGGAGAGGCGGCCAACACAGGGGACAGGCGGGGGTGCCAGTCTGCCCCTGTGGCCCCCTGTGACGTGTGGCTTTGGCTTCCTGCGCTGAGGGCCAGGAAGGAGACGGTGGCCACAGCCAACCATGCTGTGGGCTCGGGCCAGTGCCAAGGGCCACGAAGACACTGCCAAGTGCTGCGGGCACCCGGCTGCCGGCACAGCCCCTCCCGAACCTGCCCTCACACAAGGCTGCCCCTCAGCAGCTCCCAGGGCCCAGCCGGGAAACCCCCGCCGCCCCAGCCCCCAGCACTCACTGGGCTCGCGGTTCGGGGAGGAGATGCACTCCCGGATGGAGTCCGATATGCCCAGGCTGGCCGCCGTGGGCAGGGGCCCAAGCAGGGACTCCAGCGCAGGGGGCCTGCTGCCCGCTGCGGGGCCCCCCGCCGCCGCCGCACCGCCGGGGACGCCGCCCCCCAGCAGCTCCTGGTAGAAGTCTCTGTTCAGGTGGCTGGCCGCGGCCTCCAGCTCCTCATCCTCCGTGTCCTCCTCTCCGAGCAAGCTGGACGTGCTGTCCTCAACGGAGCCTAGGACAGTTTCACACGCCCCCTGTCAAGCATGCAGGAGGCCGTAGCGCCCACCCGGGGAACAGCGTTTCCATGCAGCTGCGCACATTCCCAGCGGCGGGCCTGTCCCCAGCGCGCCCACACCACACACGCGATGCAAAAGCCAACTCAGAACAGATCAGACACAAGCCTAACAGCTGTGAGCACAAACACACGTTTCTGAGAAAAGATGGGAGATGGGAAGAAATGTTGACTCCAGCGTTGATAAGTCAGATTTCATCAAAAATGAGAACTCTACTTTGAAAGACACTGTTTAGGAAGACAAAAAGACAAGCTGCAGACTCATCTGCAAATCACATTTGACAAGGACCTGCCTCTGGACTGTGAGCAACTCTGAAAACACAACGGCGTCACAGCTGCGCGTAAGTTGGGAGCAGAGATCAGCAGAGGCGTCGCGGGTGGGCACAGGTGGTCACCTGTCACGACAGGCGCCTGCAGCCACGGCGAGCCTGTGGGTGCCTCCCCCTGCACAGCCTCAGTGCAAGGGCGGACACCACGCGCCTGTGGCTGCCGAGTCGGGAAGCAGCTTCTGAACCACCCGACCACGTCTCCCCGACCCAGCAATGCCACTCCCCCACATTTACCCTCGAGAAAAGGAAGCAAAGATGGACACAAATGTTCACAGTGGTTTACATGCAACAGTCCCATACTGCACATAACCCAGGTCCTGTGACTGTGGATCACAACAAACTGTGGAAAATTCTTAAAGAGGTGGGAACATCAGACTACCTGACCTGCCTCCTGAGAAATCTGTGTGCAGGTCAGGAGGCAACAGTTAGAACTGGACATGGAACAACAGACTGGTTCCAAATCAGGAAAGGAGTACATCAAGGCTGTATATTGTCACCTTGCTTATTCAGCTTATACGAACAGTACATCATGAGAAACGCTGGGCTAGATGAAGCACAAACTGGAATCAAGATTGCCGGGAGAAATATCAATAACTTCAGATAGGCAAATGACACCACCTTTATGGCAGAAAGTGAAGAGGAACGATGAAAGTGAAAGAGGAGAGTGAAAAAGTTGGCTTAAAACTCAACATTCGGAAAACTAAGATCATGGCTTCTGGTCCCATCACTTCATGGCAAATAGATGGAGAAACAATGGAAACAGTGGCTGATTTTATTTTTGGGGCTCCAAAATCACTGCAGATGGTGACTGCAGCCATGAAATTAAAAGACGTTTGCTCCTTGGAAGAAAAGCTATGACCAACCTAGACAGCATATTAAAAAGCAGAGACATTATTTTGCCAACAAAGGTCCGTCTAGTCAAGGCTATGGTTTTTCCAGTGGTCATGTATGGATGTGAGAGTTGGACTATAAAGAAAGCTGAGAGCCTAAGAATTGATGCTTTTGAACTGTGGTGTTGGAGAAGACTTGAGAGTCCCTGGACTGCAAGGAGATCCAACCAGTCCATCCCAAAGGAGATAAGTCCTGGGTGTTCATTGGAAGGACTGATGCTGAAGCTGAAACTCCAATTTGTTGGCCACCTGATGCAAAGAACTGACTCATTTGAAAAGCTGATGCTGGGAAAGATTGAGGGCAGGAGGAGAAGGGGACAACAGAGGATGAGATGGTTGGATGGCATCACTGACTCAACGGACATGAGTTTGGGTGGACTCCAGGAGTAGTTGGTGATGGACAGGGAGGCCTGGCGTGCTGCGGTCCATGGGGTCGCAAAGGGTCAGACACAACTGAGCAAATGAACTGACTGACTGATGGACTCCCACCCGGGACCAGACACTCGGGACCCCTGCCCCAGAGGACTGACGGGACGGGCCTCTCAGAGCAACAGCACGGAGCGAAAAAGCCGGAGAAGAGACGACCCCTCTCACAGAGTACTCTAGACACAACCGACTTCCAGCTGCAGGAGGCAGCTGCAGGCTGGCCTGGGTGCCCACTGGCCCCTGGCCTGTGACACATGCCGCTGACCACATGCACAGCCCCCTCACGCCCTCACGGCCCCTCGCATGGAAGCCTGTGCTATCAGCGCGCGTGTCACCAACAGCCCGTGGGAGGGCCCGCAGAGCGAGGACACTGACCCGACGTGGGGTCCCAGAGCTCAGCACCCTGCACACACTCAGCGTGGCCTCCCGGGACGGACTCGACGGCGGGTGCGGCCCTTCCTCACCCCGCCCCCCAGCACCAGCCTCCTCCTCCTCACAGGGGAGCGGCGGCTTCCCCAGGCGGGCCATCCCACAACAGGGCAGGGCCGCTCGGAGGCCGGGGGTCAGAGGAAGGAGTTCACACCAAGGAGGGCGGACCAGGAGCGAGGCTGGGGTGGGACGTGGAGACGGTCCCGTAACCAGCGGCGGGCGTGGAGGACACGTCCCCGATGCTCCAGTCAGGAGAAGCCAGGAGAAGCTGGACCTGTAGTAGACCAGTGGTCCCTCCGCAGCACCCGGTAAGCCTGCGGGCAGGGATAGCGAGCCCAGCCCCGTGGCTGGGCGGCTGCAAGCAGGCGCTGGCTCAGAAATAGAGACCTCCAGAGACCACGTGAAGAAAACCCGGGGAGAGAACACACGCTTCCCAAGGCCCAGGGAGCGCCTCGCAAAAGGCACGTGAGCAGACACAGGGGAGCCAGGTCCTCGTGGCGAGAGGGGTCCAGGCTGGGCCGGAGAGCAGAGCCCCGCTGTGTCCAGAGGGGAGCGTGGCCGGGGCGGGCAGGGCAGAGACCGCCAGGCGTGCACGCAGGCCCACAGGGGCGCCCGGCACCGAAAACAAGCCAGCCTCAGCCGAGACCACCTCTGCCTGTGGGAGCATCACACAGCTGACAGCATGGACGGGGGCCACCCCAGCAGGCACGGAGCCCAGCCCTGGTGGATGGAGCCCAGGGGGCCTGTTCCCCAAGCACCACAAGCATCTCCAACCAGCAGACCTGTGGCCACAACACAGCGGCACGGAGGAGGGACAGCGCTAGCAAAGCACCCCGTCAGCACGCGGGACAAGTGTGGGCCCCCCCCGCACTGCTGGAGGGACGCGGCAGGGCAGCAACCGCAGGCCAGAACCAAGGGCGGAAGTCGCCGGCAGAGCACTGAGAGGTTGCAGGGCCCATAAGTCAGCGCGAGAGCTGCTTCAGTGGGAGACCGGTAACGCAGCCAGGAAAACGAGGGCGAACCACTCAAGGCACGAACAGATAACACAGGAAACCGCCAGAGCAGCACTGTCCGAAGTGCCACGAGGCGCGCCGTGTTCACACCGGGGACAGGGTGGCTCGGGGCGTCCTGAGAACACGGGGGCCCAGGGTGGCCCCGGGCAGGCGGGAGGCTGGCAGCGGGAGGGGCTGGGCAGAGGCGGACTTCAGGGTGGCTCCAGACATGGCTGGACTCACCGTCCTTCGTCAGGCTGGCAAGCGCCCCCTTGGCCTTGGGCCGGCTGTTTTCTAGCTCAATTTCAATGGCGTCCTGGTAGGTGGTTATCTCACCTAAAGCAATAAGTTAAAAGCAAAAAGTGATCATGAACTCTGTCCCTGTAAGGCCCTGCAGCCTCTGTCCAGGGAGATGGGCGGTTACCTTCCACGTCCTCCAGCTGTTTCGATAGGACTTGTTCAAGCTGCAAAGGAAGGGCATGAGCGTTTAGTGGCGGGAGGACCAGGCCGCGGGCCCGCAGGCCTCTCGGCCCTGGGCAGGGCCCCACCCCAACAGGCAGGACGTGGCTTCAGGCCAGACAGATGCTGGGCCCTGCAGGAAGGAAGCTCCCCTGAGAACCTGTGCTGGAGCACTCGGGCAGCCTGGGGAGACCCCACGAGCGGATGAGCGGACCTGGGGCCCAGGAGGGACGGTGGCCGGTGCAGCCCATCCCGGCCACCCCCACCCCGGGTTCAGCGCCCACCCGCCTCTCCCGGGGCTGTGCGTGGACGCACGCCCTCGTCAGTCTTCGTAACGAAGCCACTGTCTGGGAGGAAGGACGGGGCACGGCGACGGCGGAGGCCACGTGCAGGGCTCACCTGCTTCAGCCGCAGCTTCCTCTGCCCAGCCGTGTAGGACGGGGGGTCGCACTCCTCCTCCAAGTCAATCTTCATAAACTCGTCCACGGTCAGCTGACTGGTGGGCGTGTCTTCGAACTCCGTGAGCCTGAAGCACACAGAGGAAAGGGAATCTGGCGCCCCGAGCAGCACAGTAACCAGCACCCAGTTAGTGAGACCCTCGGGGGTCACGGGCCCAGGCCCAGCGCCCGCACACACAGCTGTGCGCACGGGCCCCAGGCCTGCCCAGCAGCCTCTCGGTCCTGCTGGGCGGTGAAGGCTGGCTTCCCCGGGAGCCGAGGGCGGGCCCCTCAGGGAGACCCTGGGAAGAAGGCCCCCAGTGCCTCCTGCGCGGCAGTGAGCGAAACCATGGTTAATTCTTGCCCATCTCCCACAAAATCTTCAAAGTGTTTACCAGAAGAATCCATAAAGAGAGCTAGAGATCAAATAAGCAAACCAAACTCCCTCTGCTGTGAAAGCTGCTGTAGAATATGATCTCAGCTCACACAGCCATCAGGGGCTCCCGACTCGGGGTAAGCGGGCTGCAGTGACCGGCATGCCCACGACTTGCTCACGCCAGGCTGAGTGGCGCTCTGGCCGGAGCTGCCGCGATGACTCTGGGAATTCGCCGCCCAAGAAGCAGCTCCCCGGCCGCTCTGGGAAGGGAGAGCTGCCACCTCCATGGATCACGCTGGCTGCGCCGGCCAGGGGATGGGCACAGCCGCTCTCAGCACCCATTCCTGACCTGCGAGTCAGGGTGACCTCACAAGCCACTGTCCCTCTCAACCCTGGTGGAAGAAAGGGGCCGCCACACAGACAGGACTGCGGAGGGGAGCTGGCGGGGACCAGGCAGGACCAGAGCCACCCACCTCTTGCGCAGAGTGGACTCGCACACCTTGACCACGCTGATGACCTCCCTGACAGTTCTCCGGAAATCATGCATCCTGGCTGCAACCAGAAGTGCTGGGAAGAAACACAGGGGATTCAAAAGGGGACAATCCAGCGACACCAGGAGCGTCCCTGGGCGCAGAGGGCTGTGACCCGCTGCAGGGGCTCCGGGAGCCACGGCGACACTGACTTGCTCTCCTCCTGTGGGCAGTGCTGCAGGCCCCGGACTGTGAGAACCCTAGGAGCACTGGCTACGCTGCCAGCCATTACATGATCGTTTTAAAAACAAAGAAGGTGCTGCTCACAGGCTCCTTTTTTAAATGCAAGTATTAAAGAGAATTTTGTGTAACCTCTCAAAGCAAGCGTGTGAACTCTGAGCTGACGCGTACGGGAACGTTGAGGAGACACGGGATGGACCCCGCTGCGCTGCACACGGTGACCACAACTAGCTGGCCCTTGGAAAGGCCCAGCTCTGGGCTGGAAACTGGGGACGCAGACTCGGCACTGGACATGCCCCCGCACAGCCCTGACCCTGTGGGGCGGGAGGGAGAGAGAGGGCCGGCGGGGCTCCAGGTCCAAAAGGGGGGGCGGGGCTGCAGCAACAACTCAGAACGCTGCACCTCCAGTCAGGCCTCGGGTCAAGGCCGGGAAGCCTGGAGTCCCCTTGGCTTGAGGGTCCTGCCCACTCCCCACGGCCGAGGAGGCCACCAGGGAGCAGGCAGAGTCCCTGAGGGCTGGGTCAGGACCCGGCAGGGGGAGCTGGGAGGCAGCTCTGGGAGGAAGCCACCCGCAGCAGCCCAGCCTACTGAAGGGTGGGCACTGACTGCACTCCCACACGGCCGTGGGGCCCCGCCAGCTCAACCCCGCACCCCGTGCCCGCCCCGCACGCCGCACCTGCCCCGCAGAGTCCCGAGGGGCGGCGGCCCGTGTGCATCCAGTCCCTCTTCATCCTCTGCAGCAGCCTCATGGCCGTCATGGACACCTCGTGGTTCTTTTCGCCGAACTCCAGGAGGTGGGCAAAGCGTGGGATGTACAGGCAGGGGTCTGCAGAAGACACGCACCTCAGCACGGCCCTGGGGAGACGTGCCCCTCTGCTCCCCAGCTTGGGCCTCCCTCACCCCGTCTGCCACACAAGCTCCCGGGGGCCCCTTTTCCCTGACAGGAGCGCCCCGGACAACCACCTCAGGAGCAGCTGAGGACACCGCAGCCAGCGGGCGGGACACGCGTGCCCTGCTGTGTAAGGTGGGCCAGGCTTGCGTGTGCACCGCTCAGGCTCCGGCAGAAGCACACACGCCTGCGGGCTGCTTCGTGGGCATTTTGCGGATTACCAGTGAGGCTGAGCAAATTTTTACGCATTTGTTTTCTGCATTTACGCTTGTGGAACAGCAGCTTAGACCTTCTGCCTCCTTGTCTGGATGTGTGTGTGCACCTCTTAAGTGAACGTCTCTCTCTGGCTAAGGTAGCCAGCCTGGCTGGGCAGGACAGGAGTCACCCGCACGCGCACCGTCTCCGTGCTCATCGGCACCTTCCCCGCGCAGCTCTGGGCGAGAAGCGTCAAGAGCGGACGAAACCAACTGAGCAATCAACCTGGCGAGCTGTCAGGCCTGCCACAGATAATGAGGAAACCATCCGGCATCCTGTGAGAGTCCTGGGCCAAGACCTCCTTCGGACACAACCATCAAGCAAGGCTGTGCTCCTTGGGGCCATGCCGGAGGCCTGAGGAGTAGGCTCTAGGAGGGGCCGGGCTCTGGGAGGGAGGCCCAGCAGAGAAGGGGCTGGTCGGCTCCCCTCGAGCCCGACACCAGTGCAAGCAGGGCCGGCAGAGACCCTGGCCCTGGCCAGCACCCAGCACCGTCCTCCGGGGCTCAGCCTAACCGCCGCTCCTGGCCTCACTGCGTCTGTGAGGGCCCTGGGGACGGCTCTGGCCCCTGGCGTCCCGAGAGGTCCCACAGGGAGTTCTTCCATCCTGTCAGCCTTGGCTCGCGGAAAGGACCGGGGAAGGTTTCTGAGGCTGCAGGCTGGCCGCCCTGAAGCAGCCTGGGTCCCCCGCGGCCCACAGGATTCAGGCAGACCTGCTCTGCACCTCCAGCCGATCCCAACAGCCAACTGCACAGCCAAGCATGCAAATGAGCAGGGGAGAGGCGGGGGAACGAGGCGCACTGCGCCTCCCACACGCTCACTTTACACCCCGGGCAGGAAGGCGCTGGCCCCGTGGCCCCGCAAGGAGGAAGGGAGCCCCGGCCAAGGGGAAGCAGCCATCACACGACCGTCGCTGTCCTCAATGGACCCTCAAAGCGCCCAACTTCCTCCTCCTGTCTGTCCGGTGAGGCCCCTCTCCCCTGCCTGCAGGACCCGCCCACGGCCGGCCGGCCACAGCGTGCGTGTCCTCTGCCACTCCCGAGTACACTTGCTTCGCTGATGAGAGAGCTGGCCGGTTTAGGCTGACAGCAGGCAGCTACGACCACTTAACCCCTTCCAAAGACACCGCGGAACCAGAAAGGCAGAGTCACGGGGCCTAGGCAGTCTGGAGCTTCACCTACTTCCACTGTGGGTATGTTAGTTTGGAGTTTTGGGGGGTGATTTCATTATGGGGAAAAAACACATATTTTAAAAGTATAATTGCTAACATTTTAACTATTTTTCAATAAAACAAAATATATCAGAACTAAGAATTAAATTACATTCATATTAAAAGATCTTATCTTGATTTGAGTGCGAATTTGAAACTGATTAATTCCTAAAATAGAAAACCGTAAGCCTAAAAGTACTGGTAAGAATTTCAAGACCAATATGCCAGCAGTCTGGGGTAGGTTTGAAGTGGACTGGGGCATTTAACGTGGGGAGAAGAAGAACTAGAGAAAACGGCAAACCTCAAGTACAGATCACGTGATGGGAGTTAAACTCCCAGCGCTCAGTCGTGTCCGGCTCTTTGCGGCCCCGTGGACTGTAGTCCACCAGGCTCCTCTGTCCATGGAATTTTCCAGGCAATAATACTGAAGTGGGTTGCCATTTCCTACTCCAGAAATTCCCTAGTGCGCTTGGACAACAACACTAAATCCAGGATACAGTGTTCGTAAGAGGCAGTTACAAGTAACACAAAAGGTCGAGATCAAAAGGCCGTTTTGGGCCCCTGAAGCAGGGTCACCAGGAGGAGAAGGGTGCTGTGAAGGGCGCAGCAACAGAGAACCCAAGGCAAGGGAGGTGTGGGGGCCAGGGCGAATGTGTTACGATGCAAAGGACCCAACATCTCAAAGGACACGGGACAGTCACACACCTGTAACACACATGGACTCAGAGAGCACTAAATACAGCAAAAACTGCTAGAAACAGAAATTTCCACACTTGATGCAAGATTTTAGCATAACTACACTGATGTGGGATTTTCAACACAACTCTCTCAAATTTGACAGCCTGGCTAGTGGGGGAAATGCCAAATGGGAAACTGGATGCCACCACAGGTTCAACTTAACAACTGACTTTTAAAGTCAATACCCTATAAAGAGTAATCATCCTTTTCCAAAGTCTGCAGAACAGTTATAAAAACTGACCACGTATTAAAGAAACGCCCTGCATCTGAGAGAACAGAAACGTCACAGGACATGTCCTTCCATCTGAAGTGGAAGAACACTAAACGCTAGCAAGAGAAAGACACACAGCTCCCTCACCTCTAAACAAATCATTAGTGAGCTGGAGAACAGCTTACTAACTGTTCCTTAGAGAATGACAGACTAGAGATCTCTTCAAGAAAATCAGAGATACCAAGGAAACATTTCACAAAAAGATGGGAACAATAAAGGACAGAAATGGCAGGGACCTAACGGAAGCAGAAGATATTAAGAGGTGGCAAGAATACACAGAGGAACTATACAAAAAAGATCTTCACAACCCAGATAATCACGATGGTGTGATCACTCAGAGCCAGACATCCTGGAGTGTGAAGTCAAGTGGGCCTTAGGAAGCATCACTATGAACAAAGCTAGTGGAGGTGATGGAATTCCAGCTGAGCTATTTCAAATCTTAAAAGATGATGCTGTTAAGTGCTGCACTCAACATGCCAGCAAATTTGGAAAACCCAGCAGTGGCCACAGGACTGGAAAAGGTCAGTTTTCATTCCAATCCCAAAAAAGGGCACCACTAAAGAAAGTTCAAACTACCACACATGGTAGCGAAGTAACGCTCAAAATTCTCCAAGCTAGGTTCCAACAGCACATGAACAGAGAACTTTCAGATTTCAAGCTGGATGTGGAAAAGGCACAGGAACCAGAGATCAAATTTCCGACATTCACTGGACCATAGAAAAAGCAAGAGAATTCTAGAAAAACATCCACTTCTACTTCACTAACTATACCAAAATCTTTGTGTGGATCACAAAAAACTGGAAAATTCTTAAAGAGATGGATCTACCAGACCACCTTACCTGCCTCCTGCGAAACTTGTATGCAGGTCAAGAAGCAACAGTTAGAACAGGACATGAAACAATAGACCAGTTCAAAATTGGGAAAGGAGTACATCAAGGCTATATACTGTCACCCTGCTTATTTAACTTACATGCAGAGCACGTCATGAGAAATGCCAGGCTTGATGAAGCACAAGCTGGAATTAAGATTGCTGGGAAAAATATCAATAACCTCAGATATACAGATGACACCACCATTATGGTGGAAAGTGAAGAGGAACTAAAGAGCCTCTTGATGAAGGTGAAAGAGGAGAGTGAAAAAGCTTGCTTACAACTTAAACAATAAACATATACATACGTCAAATCATTACACTGTACACCTTGAACTTATACAATGTCATATGTCAGTAACATCCCAGTAAAGAAGAGAGTAAAAAAAACTAGCTTAAAACTCTACATTCAAAAAACAAAGATCATGGCATCCGGTCCCATCACGTCAAGGCAAACAGATGGGGAAACAATGGAAACAGTGACAGACTTTACTTAGGTTCCAAAATCACCGCAGATGGTGACTGAAGCTGTGAAATTAAAAGATGCTTACTCCTTGGAAGAAAAAAAGCTATGACAAACCTAGACAATGTATTAAAAAGCAGAGACATTACTTTGCTGACAAAGGTCCAAATAGTCAAAGCTATGGTTTTTCCAGTAGTCATGTAGAGATATTAGAGCTGGACAATAAAAAAGGCTGAGTGTGGAAGAACTGACACCTTTGAACTGTGATGCTAGAGAAGACTCTTGAGAGTCCTTTGGACAGAAAGGAGATCAAACCAGTCAATCCTAAAGGAAATCAATCCTGAATATTCATTGGAAGGACTGATGCTGAAGCTCCAATACTTTGGCTACCTGATGTGAAGAGTCAACTCATTGGAAACGATCCTGATGCTGGGAAAGACTGAAGGCAGGAGGAGAAGGGGATACAGAGGACGAGATGTTTGGATGACATCACCGACTCAATGGCCATGAGTTTGAGCAAGCTCCGGGAGATGGTTAAGGACAGGGAAGCCTGGTGTGCTATAGTCCATGGGGTCGCAAAGAGTCAGACACGACTGAGCAACTGAACAACAAAAAGAACCATCTTCTAGGTAACTTAATAGACTTAAGTGCTCCCGTAAAGACAAAATAATGTACTACACATAGTTAAGTAAAAAACTAAAAATAAAGTGCCTATTATATTTAAAGTAGGCAAAAAATGAATATCTAAATAGATGTTTCTCCAAAGAAGACATGAAGATGGCCAATGGGCACATGTAAAAATGCTCAACATCTCTAATTAGTAGAGAAATGCAAGTCAAAACTACAGGGAGATAACACCTCACAGCAGTCAGAATAGCCATCATTAAGAAGTCTACAAATAAACTCTGGAGAAGATGTGGAGAGAAGAGAACCCTAATACACTGCTGCTGGAAATGTAAGTGGATACAGCCACTATGGAGGCTCCTTAAAAAACTAAAAAGAGAGTTTGATCCATATGATCCTACAATCCCACTTCTGGGCATATATCCAGAAAATGTACCTCAGTGTTCATAGCAGAACTATTCACAATAGCCAAGACATGGAAGCAGCCTAGATGTCCACCGACAGATGAACA